CCGTCGTCGTCGTCACGGGTGTCGTCACTGGCGTCTTGAGCCGACTTTGACGTTTGGCCGGCGTCTTGGCCGGACTTGAAGTCATCGAGGACGTCGGTGCGCCGACCGTCGCGAGGTACTGCATGAGAAACTTGGTGTTCTCTGTCTTGCCGGCGCCCGACTCGCCCGAGACCAAGATCGACTGGTTCTTCTTCTCGTCGCGCATGCAGCGGTACGCCATCGACGCGATCGCAAACACGTGCGGCGGCGCGTCGCTGTCCATGGCCTCGTATGCGCGGACGTGCTGCATCGAGTACATGTTGATGGGCCGGAACGGGTTGAACGCAAGCAGAATGTCGCCAATGTACGTGTAGATGAGGTCGTGCTCGAAGCGGTTCGCGACCGCAAAGAGCAGCTCGGGCTCGTGCAAGTACTGGAGCTGGATCAAGTTGGGCACGTTCGTAAAGTCGTCGACGTCGTTGCGCAGCTGGATGCAGGCTGCGTCGTCGGCGCCAATCGCGGCCTCGCCTACGCGCCACTAAGAGCATCAGCCATCGACGGTGCGCCATGCCTCTAGCCGCCTACGGATCTCGAGGACGTCGGTGCTTTGCTCGATGCGGACGCGGATCGCGCCGTCGCGGCAGTCGTCTACGGTACCGGCGACCCATATTTCCGTCTTGTGGGCGACCCAGACGCGGGCGCCGACCTCCATGCTGCTGCTGCTGATGGGGCGGCTGCAAGTTGTCAAGTAACAGACAGAGCAACTCGATATTCGATATTGCTCGATCCGGCCATATTGACGTTTGTATGGGGCATGAATATTTCGAAACCCCAAAAGATCCAATACAAATTTCAAGATATAATGCAGAAAGGCCACGTCTATTTTTAATCGCGGAGTATACAAACCACTATAGAACACAATAAAAATACAAAGTAGCCACAAGTGACCGAGGACTCCCTCACTTCAACGAGGTTGGCGTCAGGCGCCATCATCTCAAGGCGCTTCTTCTTTCTTGGCACGGGCAAGGACGACGACGACGCGAGTAGCCGCGATGCTGGCGTGTGGTGCGACAGCAGTGGCGGCAGCCGCAGCAAAAAATCCCTAAAAATCAACCGCCGCGTGCGACAGCAAGGCCATTTCTCGAGGGCGAGAAGGTGGCGAGGTCGAGGACGGTGTTGTTCTTGCTGCCGACGTGACGCATAAGGCCATCCTGAGATATCACGTGCACAGATATACGCGTTCTTATCGTCTTATCGCCAGTCGAGAATCGAAGCGTCGCCGTCCACCTCCCACCGTGCGGCCAAGCAGCCTTAACCAACGCATGCAAGCCCTCATAGGAACGACCACGCGTAGTACTCGCCGTTGTACGCTTATGCGGATGCAAGGGGTGTCGGTTGCCAGCTGGACACGCTGCAACGTTGGCGTCAAGTGGACGGTCGGCGGGAGTATCATCTTCTCGGTACGGTCGACTGCGCAGGTGCGACCAACTCTGTTGCGCAGCCGCGAACTCCAACGCGGTTGACGACTTCTGAAGTAGCCACTTTTTCCAAAGAAATCCGACGCGCTATACGTGGCAGCCTCCCGTGCGCGTATGGCCAAACAGGATGCGACTATCCGGTTAATCAAGTGGCAGCGTATCCGGATCGCCAGCCAGGACATCCGTTTCGTAGATGAATGGCGAAGTGCTGGTGGGCATCCTCGGCGGCGTCGGGCCCGCGGCCGGGCTCGTCCTGCACCAGGAGATCCTCCGCAACACGCTGAACGACGGGACCGACCAAGGCCATCTCGACGTCGTGCATATCTCGCGCTCGTCCGACATGGCGGCGCGGCCGGCGTACCTTGCGCAGCTTGAAGCGGGCGAGACCACGGCCGACGACGACCATAATGCGATCGAGAACCCTGCGTACGGCATGGCGCGCAGCTTGAGCATGCTCGTGCTCGCGGCTGAAGCGCGGTCGGCGCGCCTCATCGTCGGTGTGCCCTGCAACACGTTCCATGCGTCGCCGATCTGGGACACGTTTGCTGCGCTCGTCGCCGCCGAGCACGCCGACCACGTGACCTTGCTGCACATGCTGGACGAAGCCGTCGCGATGATCGGCAGGCTCGCGCCCCACGCCACGACCATTGGCGTAATGTCAACGACCGGGTCGCGCCGCGCACGCATCTTCCACGACCGGCTGGAACCCGCGGGCTACACGGTGGTTCAAGTCCCCGACCATGTCCAGGACGCGCTCAACGACTCGATCTACAACACCGAGTGGGGCATCAAGAGCACGTCGCCGAGCATCCACCCGCGCGCTGTGCAAAACTTTCAAAGCTACGCCAAGCTGCTCGCGCACATGGGCGCGCAGGTCGCGATCCTCGGCTGCACAGAGATCCCACTCGCGCTCACAGGCTCGGAGATCTATGGCATGCTTCTCGTAGATCCGATGGTCGCGCTTGCACGGGCCATGGTACGGTCGGCCGCCCCCGCCAAACTCGTGCCCCTCGACATCAAGCTGCCGAGAGATGTCCATCTTGGCAAGCCAAAGCGCACGCTGAGTGTACGAAGCGACTCGGTCGACCTCACGGACGCGTGCGAGACGCTCGTCGATGGCGACGACGACTCGAGCGATGAAGGCATCATTACGGCCGA